AAGGGGTTTTCATGAGTGAACAGTCGATCCTATTAACTGTCGGTTCAACTGGTTCGCTGTTCACCACAAGAAAAATGCATCTTTCAATGTCTGATAGTTTATCGCACGACTCTCAATGCCTCTGCTTCACTGTTCTATATTCTTATTTGGACAAACAACGATAAAAACCGTATTTATGCACTGCGCACTTGTTGGAAGTGCGATGGTCATCCATGCATAATGTGAGAGATGGAAATGTCATCACTACTGGATCGGACCCGCCTATGCTACAGTAGTCGTGAAAATTAGGTAGGTTGAGTAGCACTCCGGCTTTCATTCCTCTTTTTCTAGCATCCAACGTGTTGTATCCGTTTTCCAATAGCCTTCGCGGCGAAATACGCGCCAAAAGATTCAATGCCTTACCAGCATAACAGGTGAGTAAAATCGGGGGAAGGGTCCAATTGGGAACGCTTGAATACCAATGATATTTGGGATCCTAATTCACCAATGAACGCTTAGAAGCATGCGATAATAAACGCAGAGGGCATCTGGTGATATGCCACCCCATCGAATTTAAAGATCTGTTGGACATATTCGCTCATAAACGGGTTTGAACCAAATTGATATGCAAATGATGCGGAAAGGTCGTCGCGCGATGGCTACAACGTTAAAGGCGACTCCATATTGTCTATCAAGTCTGTGATTAATGCCGTAAAGAAACACTATAACGTTCAGTGCCGTCTTAGTTCAGAATCGGTTGTACGCATAAAACTAGATCAGAGTTGACCTTTAAATAAGTTCCTAACACCAAAGGAAACGAACTAGCGGTTTGTGTAATAACTCATCTCCCTTGGATATACAGACCAACTTGTAACAGAGCGAGAAACGACCATGCTGGTGTTGACCTAATGATAGCCTTGTGCCCGATCGTGACCGGTGTAATGCATAAGCACTCATTCGGATGTCACGTCCACTTCATTAGAGCCCACCGTAGCACTGTGCGGGATTTGTGACTCTAAAACCATTTGATACACTCGCATCTGAGTTACAACGATATCGGAGTGCCAGCGTGTCCATGTTTGGTATGCGTTTTGCACCTTCAAAGTATCACTACAAGACTGGGTTGATCCAGCACCCAGTCTCACTCTAACTGGGGAATTAATAGAGCAGGTGGACAAGTTTTGTTATTTGAGCAGCTACATTTCACCCGGTGGACGCATCACGAATGAAGTGTCAGCTCGCATACAGAAGACTCGACTGGCATTTGCCAGTTTGAGACATCTGTGGCGCCGTCGCGACATCCGGTTGTCTGCGAAGGGTCGAGTATATGCTGCAGCAGTTCTGTTATATGGCGCAGAAACTTGGCCACTAAGAAAACAGGATAAAGATAGACTGTCGGTATTTGAACACCGATGTCTACGCAGCATTGCACGGATCTGGTGGGGTAGCCGGACGAGCAATGCGGTCAGGTGAAAAGTTTTAGGCAATCGCGATCGCCCACTGGAGATAGTGGTCGACCTCCATAGATTACGCTGGTTGGGGCATGTGTTGCGCATGTCATCAAATAGGTTGCCACGGCGAGCGATGTTCACCAAGGCAGGTAGTGGGTGGAATAAAGCCCAGGGTGGTCAGGCTAAGACCTAGCATGAGGGTATGAAAACCCTAACCGGGAGTCTAGGTCCCGTTAGTCCCCCTGGATGGGGACTTTGGGATGGTCGTACCCGGTGGTTAGAGACACCGAGTGATATGGCTGTCGTAAACAGTGACGTTCGCGCATCTTTTCAATTACTCTGTAACATTAATCCACTGAAGTTTTCAATCTTCTCTTCGATCCTACTTTCAACCTTTCATGTCTTTCTCCTAACGTTCACCCAAATGGGTAGCCGAAAGATAGCAACCAAAACCGGCGCACGGTAGTGCATGGTTAATGGTTGTGCAAACTGAACTGAACGATATCGGATTTAGGTATTTACAATACCCACAAATATGGATTGATTTATTCATAAGGAATAACGTTTTGCCCACAAAGACAAGTTAGCACAATGTGTGAATCATCTTATCGCATATTCCGACGTGTAACGGAGATGTGGTCGTTCATAACCGCCCCGACAACGGCAAACCATTAAACACACGAAGGTAACTATGTTACACCATTCGTCAAATCGGGTGAGCAAAACATTACCTCAATTTGTGAGTTGAGACCCAAATGATGATGATAATGAACGAGAAGTAATCAAAAAATACGATTACTAATACCAGGGAATTCAGCACAACGAGATCGATGCGAGAAGAAACAATGCAGGTTTACTAACCAAAAGAAACGGGATTTCTGCGGGCGTGAACAGCAATTGAGATTGTGAAGAGTGAAAAGTACGTGGTCCGTAGCGAAGTGCATGAGCGGAAAAGAAAACAAACTAAAGGTCAAAAGAGACTAGACATTACGGGAAAGTAACTGATAAGATAGATCAGATGAAATCAAGAACAGATGATGAACAATGCACGAAACATATGTTTACAGTGATGAACCGGGTTTGGCGTTAAAACTGCGAGCAATGAGAACAATCGCTCTCGCATAAGCGTGCACAAGCGACCAAAAACCGAAGCGAATCGCACATAAATCTCATTGATGCAATTCAAAATTCTGTGAGACAGGATTCACATCCAAGTGACTTTAAGAATGCAATATAATCGAAACATCACGGGGAGTCCAAGCAGTCATGTTCGGCGGTCAATCGCCAACGGTTGAACCACCAAGAAAGGAACTCCGCAAATCGAGGTAAGCGAATCCGTTTGACAAGGACTCCATTAGAATCGACGGATAATGGCGAAGAAGCCTCGGTGTTAGACACAAGATTGGCAGCAGAAGAGCGCCTGCGCCTGCAACGACATCGCGAAAGTGCCGCAGTTTCCGCATCTTCGGCTGACAGTTCAGCGTCACTTGCGGCAGCACCAGCTTCATCCAAACCTTCTTCCAGACTATGTGAGTCTAGATCAGGAAATTCGCCCAGAGTTGCATCAAAACCTTCTTGAACACGAAGGACGGCTCGCAGTAGATCAGCGGTGCCTTGGGGGTCCAAGTACAACGCGGATTTGGGCGGACAGGCAATGCCGACTCCCGCTGCTTCGGCTTGGAGGCGCCACAAGGCCAACACAATCAAATCGTCAGAATGACCCAAAGCGCGAGCGTTTTCCACCGGCCAGCCCTGTGGTGGAGGTGAGGTCATAATCCGTGCAATCGCATCTAGTCTGTCGGCTAATGAGGCGAAATCCAAAGCTTCTACTTCCGAATACGGATCGGGAATAAGACTGTAGGTCGGTGGGGTGACGACACCAGGTAAACTACAGACCGACTGTATCGGTCCGGCTGGAACAAGATGTTTTCGAGCCAAAGGCAATTCGGATACGAGCAACCGATGAACAGCCAAGTAGAGACAAGGGATAATCGGGACTCGCGGCCCGCCGGTACTATCCTCAGTAGAGCGGAGACTGATTTCAGCGGTAGAATAGGCAAAATGGCACGCTTCTGGTTGATCGGTTGCCTGCCAATCTCGGAGACCCAAACCACAAGCGGGACATACTGTCTCGTCGCCTGAACCGGTATGGAAAAAACCGGCGGAGGCTAACTCAGCCGCTGATGGGAGAGTAGATGAATCTGACTGCTCGCTACGCGGATACGAATGTCCAGATGAAGAGCCGGAATCGGGGAAAGAATTCAAACGAGCGCGATGAGAAGCATACCGTGGGGTTCGAGTGTGCATCTGTAACAAGCCAGCTGAAAGATAAAGATCAGGAAATGTAACTAGCCAACAGGCAACGCATAGCAATCTATACTTCAGAATTAGGGTATTCATTATCATCAACGTACAGCGAAATGCTTCACTGATAGCGGGCAAAACTCGCAGTGCATACAAAATTGGCGGGAATATGTAAAGTCGTCCGGTGCAATGCCACGCCTCACCTATCGGGACCTTATGCGGTTCGCCACTCCAAGTCCTGGGGCTTAGGTTACCGGTTTCCGTGAAT